AAGAAAGAGGGAGGTGAGGGTGCATGTGATTATAGTACACGACCAGATTCAATTTAATTAAAATGCAATGAATCAGTGATCAGAGTTCATAATCATAGAGGTGAAGAGAGGTCAAGTTTCCTCTATAATGCCATGTTGGTGTCGTCGTTGTTTACCTGTAAATATCACTTCTTTCAGGAGACAACACCTCAGTGTGAAATCTTGTCACGTGCCAATTTTCAAATGCATGCATCAGATGGGTAGATTTTTTTATTATTATGTCTCGAGAAGAACACTTGCCTAGAGATTTTACCAATTGATATGGGAGAAGTCTGAGATTCTGCACATCTTTTTTCTTGAACATAAGATAGGTGTCTACAAATTACATTCAACTAAAGGCAAGTACATGAAAAATGAACATGCATATAGAACAATTCTGAAATCAAGCCTTCACCCTTTTGATGGTGTCCACTGTTTAGTATTGCTTTTCCAGGATCCATTGGAGGGGGAGAAAAACTTGCAGCAGCTCCCTTGAGATGCATCAGCTGAAAAAATAATAAGAAAAAATAAAATAAAATAATATAATGGGAACCAAATAAAATAAAATAATATAAATTTAGTTAGCAATGATGGACTACAAAAATGAAATACACATAATCCAGCCAGTGTTTATGACATTATGTCTTGATTTTATATGTAACGTTCAATAGCAAAGACAAAATGGTAGGCATATCACAAGATCATTGTGGTAACGATGAACAAAATGTATTGCCGAACAAAATGTATTGCCTGGACAAAAAGCACGAAACACAAAAACGCCAAAAGGAAATGAGAGGACAATATGTTAATAGAGATGATAAAGTGTGAAATGTTACAGTCTTGACTGAAATTCAGTTATCCGAGATAATCCCAATAAGCATGTAAGAGCCAAAACAATTCATAACAACAGGCGAAAACCATGTACGTTCAACTAAGTATAAGTTCTTATTCCAAACGACCTGCATGGCTTTTTGTACGAACTTGCTTCTTCAAATTCCACAAAACCAAAAGAGGACATTTCTTGCAGCAAAAAAATAATATACTTATATGGATCATCATGTATCACTCAATTAAGAGGCAACAGTATTAGCGTCTAAAAAGAAATACCCTCTTGCTTTTAGCTTCATTTTTGTATTTCAGAGTAAGCCCAAATTTCTTAAACACGTCTTCAAGTGACGTCTCAGTAGCATTCTTTGGAGGCCTCCTCATATATATTGAGCAATAATTGGCTGCATACAGCACAAAATACAATTTTAGAAAGGAAAAAAAAAAAGAACGAAAAAGATAATCAACCGAAGACACCGGAAGATAAATTCAACTAAAGACAAGTACATGAAAAATGAACATGCATATAAAACAATTCTGAAATCAAGGCTTCACCCTTTTGATTGTGTCCGCTGTTTAGTGTTGCTTTTCCAGGATCTATTGGCGGGGGAGAAAAACTTGCAGCAGACCAAATGGAGGGAGATACCTGAAATGCACGATCCATTGGAGGTGGAGAAAAACTTGCAGCAGACCAAATGGAGGGGGATATCTGAAATGCAGGATCCATTGGAGGGGGAGAAAAACTTGCAGCAGCTCCCTTGAGATGCATCAGCTGAAAAAATAATAAGAAAAAAAAAAAGAAAAGAATGGGAACAAAAGGGAATCAGAAACAGTCACACCTCCCTTAATTTATTTAGCAAGGAATGGACTACAAAAATGAACATAATCCAGCTAGTGTTTATGGAATTTTGTCTTGATTTTATAAATAACATTTGATGGCAAAGACAAAATGGATTAAACAGACAAAAGAAAAACAAATCTAAGAGAGAGACTCATTTTTAAAGCTGGCCATCACTACGTACAACAGACGCATATGACTTCTTCGAAATTTGATCGTGTTTGGCACTGGATTTAAGCACCAGCTCTTTATTATCCCGTACCTTATCAGCGAAATTGGATCTTGGAACCTCTACTCCACCAAAGAACACACTGTCACCATCCTCTGATGGACTGTAAGCTTCTTCTGCAATGGCTGATTCCTCTATAATAACTCAGAGAGCAACGGATAGAACAAGAAAAGAAAAATGTACAGAAGGGGTAGGTTACCTTGTGTTGTGATCGGACGCACCACAATATCACTTCCTAAAGTTGGGTTCCCGTTGGCAATATCCACATACCGTAAAAGGTCGCTTAAAACAAAGTAGCCATTATCTTGTGGAGCAAGAATGAAGTGTTGGGCGAAACTTTTAACTACATTGTCATGCCCCACGAGATGGCCAGTGACAACAACATGAACTTCACCTACAAAAGACTCCAATGAATACACCGACTTGATCTCAACTCTTAAGTCCCCATAGTTGAGCGAGACAATCTTCTCTTTGATGGCCTTCATGGTTAAGTCACATCAACAACAGGGAAAAAAGAACTTTTTAAAATAAAAAAGAGCCATCAAAGCTCAATATTCTAATTCAAATCAGATAACAACCACCTCCTGAAAGCATCAAATCATTAACATCATCCGAAAAGATACAAATAAATGTAAAACTTTCAAGAAGGAAATACCAAACTTAAGAAATATGATTGTTCCATCATATAATATAAATTCTCTCCTACCAAATGTACTGTAACCCACCACCAAATGTACTAGAAATACAACAGAATTAAACGGCCCTAGGAATAATAAGAAACAGGGAAACGGTAGTTTACTTGACAGGTTGTGGTGACGCTCATGGAGCCATCCTCCTCGGCACGATGGATGGCACTCTTGTCGTTATAGAATTTATGAGCCAACTCCGGCGAGCTACGCAGAATGGTGTAGTATTTCTCTACAAATACTCTCCCAACCTACCGTCCATAAGAAATAACTCAAAGCTATTACGAATAGATAATATACAATTTTGAACCAAAAAAAAAAATATATATATATACGAACTCACAATTTGTGCAGGAACAGTTTGCTGATATCCCACTGCCTCTGCCATTTTCGGATAAATAAACTTGACTTCAAGCAATCATCAGCCTACAGAGAATTAAGGATGGTGATGATCGGAGGAAGGGAAAGGGGAAGGATCTTTGGTGCCGGAGCTCGACATTGGGTGAGGAGGGCAAAATAGAACCGGAATATGGAGTTGGGCTGGTCAAGGATGCTAATGAAGTTGGGCTAGTTAAGGAAGCCAATTGAAGTTGGGCTGGTCAAGGATGCTAATAAAGTTGGGCTTGTCAAGGATGCCATTGAAGTTGGGCTGGTCAAGGAAGCTAATTGAGTTGGGCTGGTCAAGAATGTCAATGGGAGCGGCTCATGGTCTGTTTAGTGTTAGGTTTAGAGTAAATTACCTGGTCTACTACACGCTTAACATTTTTATTACACATTTATAACCACATATCTCTCTTATTCTTATAAGAAAAAATGTGAGCCCTTTAATAGCTGACATGTGGCATATTTGGAGTTGAGCAAGGTCCTTCTTTGTTTCCCTTCCCATGAGTTGGTTTCTGAACGCTTCAATTTTTCTTTTTTAATTAATGTGTACAACAATACGACGTCGTTCGGTCATAATGAAGGGCGATTGACGAGAATACCCTGTTATATTCTACTTTTTAGGGTTGAATATGGTCACTTTAAATTTATTTTTCTTATTGCAGAAGACTCCTACCCACACGCAACAATCACATCAAAAGCAGACGTGATTTCTATCGTTTCTCCTCATTTTGTGAAAGGCTGAAAATTGAAGGCAAATACTACGGGAAAAAAATGATCTCTTCCAAACCCTAAACCGACACAGATACATTTTTTCCGACGACAGGAACGTCCAGAACGCATGTGCATCTGCCCGCCGACTTAAAGCGGCGACCCCGTTGAGAAAAGACAACGGCGGACTCTTGACTGTTTGTCGCCTCCTCTTGCTGATTCCCTGCTCCGCCTCACCTTCAAGTATGTTTCTGTATTACCAGAGAAATTCGATCTTTTTCTTTTATATTTATTTATTTTGAGGTCGACGATGATTCCGATCTAGGCGTTGGTTGTTTCGGTGGAGAGAAGGGTTGTCGGAGGGGGGAAGTGCGGTGATGAGGAGCAGACCTTGATGGCGTCGAGAGGCGGCATGTTGGATTCCCGCAACGGTTGCTGCATTTCATTGGTAGGGTTTCTGATTGGGTTTACTCGCTTGGTCGGCTGTGTTGGAAATTGTCAAAAAAGGGTAAGTTATTTATCTGATAATAGCAAACTAATGTTATCATTTCAATTGTTTTGAAGGGTATGACTTCAACTTCTCTTCCTATCTGATATTTGATTGTATCATTTTTTGGGATGTTGTGAAGTCTAATTAAGGTCTTTGATTTTAACATGTGAAGGTTGTAAATCAATTACCAGTGCCCATTTGCTAAGCCTGTGTGGATTGTAAAAAACAATAAGGTATGTCAATAGAAGAATTTTCCACCCGCCATCTGTTTTCTGTTTCCCTTTTGGTCATTAAATCCCCTACTTTTTTGGATTATCGTCAATCACATTCATTTTGTCTCCAAATGGTAGAATGTATCCAGAGTGCCATCCATTGTGCTTGGCTCGCCAGCGGTGGAGGTTGTCAGACGTGCGTTGGGACAAGCGATGGGTAGCCTGGCTGAAGGGTGTCGACTAGCGGTATGGTGGGAGGCTTGGCCCAATCCGGCGGGAGCGTGTGATGATGTCGGGCTATAATTGGGTGACTTCTTCTTCAAAGGTTTGAGTTTTTTTTTTTTTTGGTTCCTTTGTAGCTCTATTTTTACATTATTTTTCTTCAATCTAGCTAAGTTTTTTAGCCACATTACTTCATCAAAGATGTTAAATTTTTATTTGGGCGTTGTATTCTTCATTAAAGATGTGAAGTTTTTATTTTGATTCAATCTAGATAAGTTTTCGATGGCCTAACTTAGCACTGCCATGCAGACGATGGTCCTGTTGATGCTACTCCCATCAAGAACACCCACGGGAACTACTCAAGCTCCTTCACCCATGGCTCGCGAGACATAACAAGAAGCCGACTGTCCCCTTACGCAGGATCCAGAATGCCGTGAGGCTGGTTCTGCCTGTGGAGTTGGCCAAGCACGCAGGAACTGGTGGGTTTTATTTTGTTCATTTAATTTTGTTTCTTGGATCTGATATTTTTAGATCGATGTTGAGTTAATTATCTCATTTTGTGATTCTTAATTGTTTGCTATCATATATAACTATAGGTTGTCTCATGGTGTTTAGAAGATATGAAAAATAGCTTGAATAACTTGTTGTGGGATGTACCTCACATATCTATTATGTGTTATTATGTGAAGATAGTTTTATATGTTTCATATCTTCCATTGAGAAGTTGGCTTGCAATTATCAAGTCATATGGTAAACTACTGGATTGGAAGACATTCTATTAGAAAACACGTGAGGTGTTTTATGTGTGGCCTGTGATTTAAAGTCTCACTTGGTATCCTATGTTTCTTTGTGTTAGTTTCTGCGCTTGTTTTCTCTTGTACTCCTTTTCATTTTTACATGTAATAGATTCAGTTAGTGTTCTAGGGTGTTAAACTTACACAACTAAAAAGCAGATTGACCACACAGAGTTGTTTCACTTGAAGTAATTTTCATCAGCTTTTGTTTCTATTTTGTTAGATCATTTCATTTTCACTCTAGATAAACCATTTCGGTTCACCATAGCTTAGGGTCTTGGGTGGCTTTTTTGCTAGAATCGCACAACCCTACTTATGCAATTTGCTAGAATTGCTTATGGTCATCTTGCATTAGTAATTTAACCATGCATATTGTATGCTACATGAAGTTGTGAGTTCGTGTACTCTTGTTCTTGGATTAAGATCAAAGACGAATGCCAACTTTTTTTCAAATCCATGTCCACTAAGTTTGACAAAGTTGGGATGAGAATTAAAATCACATTTTGTCCTCTACTCTATCGTTGTACTTAATTATCTTCTTCTCTGGATATTTTTTTGATGCATAGTTTGTGCTCCTTATTGTAATGTTGTAGGAGCTCCTCAAACAAATAATACTAGAAGAACTAATAAGACTATCGATGGAAGACCACCTTCAATTGCTGGATTGGGATGTATTGGTGTCTCGGAGTTGGATCGTACATGCATGACTAATCCTGCTGCACTCAGTCTGTTGTTGCAAAATCCAACTCTGGCGCAGATCACACATACCCAACTTTCCAATCCTCAGTACATGGAATATGTACAAATTTTATTTTGGGCCTTTGGTTAATTATTTTTTTCATTTGACTTCAAGTTATGATGAAGTGAAATTTATATTATACATTATGGGCCTTGATCCTCAGCTTCGCGACATGCTTGATATGAATCCTCAATTAAGAGAATTGATGCAAAACCCATAAATTCTTCGACAATTTACCTCAACTCAGACAATGCAGGTATATATCCAATCCTCTTTATTAACTTGAGCTAACCTCATTATTGTTTCTTCCGTGGTTTTATTTTAATTTATTGGGAAAGGTAGGGGTGATTCCCTTCCTGATTTGGAACTTTTTGTTTTAACTTCAAAATTCAATTGATACAATCATCTGCCAAAATAATCCATCTAGGATGTGCGGACAAACCACAAGAAAAATGATGTACACTTATATGGGATTTGATGCGGACTGTGTATTCTGGTTGAAACATAAAGTTCTCATGCTATATGTATATATATATTTTTTTCATGTATCTTATATAATCTTTTCCTACATTTAGACTGATAGTGTTGTCGGAAATGTAGCAATTTCTGTAAAATTTTAATGGATATTTTTGGATGAGCTCTATTCCTCCTCATCTGAGGTATATTACTGCATTGTTTCCGTTAAAGAGAAAAACAATTCCTTTTTCCAAGAATGAATTGTTTCTAAGTTAATTTGGATTAAAGTTGAATCATATATATTTTTTGTTTGCTTCAAGTCCTTTATTGATAAACAATTGTTCTTTGGTGATTCGTACATACATATGTTGATGGTTTTTCGGTTTTATGTTTAGTGTTTCAGCTTTTAAGAATCATGACAATAAGATTCTTGTATATAAAATGCTTGTTTGAATTACTATATTTCACTGTTGGTTGAGGATAAGTGTGTTCCACATATTGGTTTGCATTGATACATGGCCACTGGAAATGGATATGAAGCGGAAGGATTCTTTGTTATTTATCACATTGTACTTTAATCTTTCCCATTTTTTCTAATCACATAATTTTGTCTTATCCTAATTGGTGGCAAACTCAGTTTTCATCCCACATTATGTTGAATACTAGTCCTCTTTGTTATATATTGTATCTTACTTTCAATGTATCTTACAAAGCTTGTACAGTGATGGATAATAGAACATAAACAATTGACATCAAAAGAATGTAGAGATTTAAGAGATGCTTTTATAGATGGATTCTATTTTTCTCATCTCCTCCCCTTCTTTAAGTTTTTGTAAAATTTTTATTTGGTTGGTGATTGGCATATTGTTGAATTATCATCATGGTAATAGTTTAAAAGTTGAACTTAATACTCTGAGGCATGGGGAGCATTTGTAATGTACTTCACGATAAATACATGCTTTTAATTTTGGTGAGTGGATGAAAAATGGCGAGCTTAGGACGAAAATTGGTACATTTTTAGATTTAATTTAATAACTCATTTTTTGGAATCTAAAGCATAAGAATGATTTCTATGTTGGGACTTTATTTTTTACGTGTTTCTATTCTTTGCATTTTTTTTCGCACAAAGCACACACAATTTCACACCTCATATGATTCTTCAATTTCTCTGTTATTCAAACTATACAAAAAGACTGACCAAAAATCCATCAGTTTCTCAGTAAGTGACATGGCAGCCCGAGCAGTGGCCGAACTCACGGTGGTTCAACAACGATAACCGACGCTTCAAGAAGTCCCAATTTCTCCACCTCAATATCCAGCAACCAGAAACCCAATTTCAATAGCCTAAGGTTTTGCAACAAAATGTGGAAGGCTCCGATCAAC